TTGAATGGTTGGCTTGGTGATAAATTCGAAAGTTTTCTACGTAAATTCAGTACTAGCGCTACGCAAGGCAGACTGGTTGGTTCTGCCGGATTGCGTGTTGTTTCGTTTCTGAAATAATTTTTTCTATAGCCATTTGACGCATCAAAATAGCCAGTCTTCACAACCTTCGGAGTTTGAGCTTGAGTTGCATCAAATCCTTGGCGCACTTGAGCACCAGTGAAGCATTGATGGCCGAGTTGCATTCCACTGAACGCGATCTCACCATTAGCATTCATAGAGTAAGGGACAGTCACAGTGCTGCCACCTTGAGTTGGAATCTGCATGAGCTATACCAACCTAATAAAGGTAAATGTAAAGGTAAAGGTAAACCGAAGGACGATAAGAAAAAGGCAGCATGTTATGTATGTCGCAACGAAGACCATATGTCTCCAAAATGCCCGGACAGACTTCTACCAAAGATCCAATGGAAGGATCCTGATCAATATGTTGATTATGGGAAGAAGCTCAATCTTAACCAGATTGGAGCAACAGTCCCAGCTACAGTTCCTGGAACTTCTCCAGTGACAAGTATTATCACTGGTGGAACATTGAGTGTTGCAAGAAGCCTTAACACACCTTTACGACTTGCTGGTACTACAGGTAAACAGATGATGCAAGTTCCTGCGGGAATGAAGCTCATGTAGATACCAACTCAAGGTGGCGGCAGTGCGCCAAGGATTCGATGCAACTCCAGCTCGAAGTCCGCAGGTCGTGAAGACTGGCTATTTTGATACGTCAAATGCCTTTCACAAAGCTATCAAGGGAACGGATGAGAATGGCAATGATGTCTATCTTATTCCATGTCCTACTGGTGAGACTAATGTCGAACTTCAATCCGACTGGCACTATGCTAGTGAAAATGAAGACTTACCAGATCATGCTACTGAAGCAGATCAAGGTATGCAGTTTGTTCAAAGCTGCAGAATCGAAAGAGATCCGTTTGGTTTGTTCAATCACGTCATCATGGACAGTGGTTGCACCAACACCACCATTTGTAATGGTGAGCTCATGCATGGACTCCGTCAAGCTGAGAAAGAGCTCAATATGCACACTAACGTGGGTAGCAGAGTTCTTGATGAAGAAGGATTTCTAGGAAGATTTCCCCCTCCAGTCTATTATGATGAAGATGGAATTGCCAATGTACTTGCTATGCGCGAGATGATTGCTGTGGGATACCACATACCATGGATACTGATTTTGACAATGCCTTTGTTGTGCATTGCGATGGAGACAGAGAGATGCAATTTGTGAATCGTACGGGTGTGTATGTGTTGGAGCAACTTGGAGCAAATGTCAAACCAGGTGCCAAAGAGACAAGTGCAATGTATCGTCGCCAGTTAAGCAACGTAAATAAACAACCCCATTTCGAACTTTCTTCAAACAAACAGAATGGATATGCTGGACTCGGGATGATCTGGAAGATGGCAACTGTTCGAAAAATCAAGGAAGGATTCACTCCAAGACAAGTCAAGGCTGCGATGGAAGCGAGAAGTGCGATGCACATACTCAATGCTCCAAGCACCAAAAGTCTGAAGTATGCGATCCGATCTGGTCTCATCAAGAACTGTCCTATCACTAAAGAAGCGATCAATCATGCCAAAGCATCTTTGGACCTGACGCCTCTACTTTGAAAGGCAAGTCAACAAGACCAACTCCAAAGAAGACTTCTTCAGTCCACCAGAGGAATTGTACCAACACAATCGCACAATTACCGTCTGTATTGATCACATGGAGATCGAGAATGCTAAGTTTCTCACCTGCATTGATACCACTGTGCGTTATTGCTCATGTATTCCCATGCAGATCCTCAAGACTGACCCTGTATTTGATGCATTGGATAAGATATTTTGGTGCTACAATAAGGCAGGCTTTCATGTCAAGACGATCAAGAGTGATTGAGCTTCCATCCCTCTGACGGATGATATGCTAGATGATATGGGTGTTACTATTGACCCGACTGCAGCTGGAGACCACGAGCCTACAGCAGAGCAAAACAATCGAACGCTGAAAGAAAGAGTTAGAGTAGCTCTTGCACGATTACCCTACAAAGTGGTACCAAAGGTGATCACTGAATGTCTTGGACGTCAAGCCGCCAAGCTATTGAATGTCTTTCCCCAGAAAGACAGTATTTCCTCACATTTCAGTCCGCAGCAACTCATTGATAATGTCAATATCAACTACAAGAGTGAAATGGTTGCTGAGCTTGGACAGTATGTTCATGCAATTGGGATGGATTCCAACAATTTGATGGAACCACGAAGTATCAAAGCTATCTACATTGAACCTACAAAGGGACAACCTACTGGGCACCAAATGCTCAACCTCAATACTAAGAAAATGATTTCTCGACCCAAGGTCATTGTACTACCCGTTACCGATCAAGTGATCCAGCGTGTTGAAGCTTGGGCTGCTGCCAAAGGTGTTACTTCCATGAAGTTCTTTGATAAGAAAAGAGATTTGGAGACATTTCAAGATGGCAATCAAATTGCAGGAGTGGATGACACGGAACAAGGTTACTTAGAGGAAGCCTTTGATCAGGACTATGAACCTGAAGATGAAGATGAACGTGATTTCAATCTATGTGGACAATTCAATGATATCGATGACTCCAAAAGAAATGAGCTCTTGGCAGATGCAGACAATGATGTCAATGATATGCAGGAACTCACTGTCAGATTCCAAGGGGATGATGACTATGAATCAGATGACGACGATTCAGGTGATGAAGGCAATGAAGAGGAAGAAGCTATTGTGGCTGATTTGGATCACCATCAAGAAAATGTCGATAGAGGAACCAATGATATTGGGAGCCTTGTTACTGATCTGGAGGATCTACAAGAACTGCCAGAAGAAGAGATTGTATTTGAGCCTGAAACGCCTCAAGTAGCAAAAGTCACTCAATCTGGGCAAACGTATGCGCAAGTTGCAATGTCAGGGCTGAACCTTTCTCAGGTTCCAAAGAAACCAAGAGAATGGCCTTCGAGCAGGAGTGGCAGTTCTGCCAATAAGAACAAGAATCGAGTTGCGACAAGACGCAAGCATTGAGAGAGGGAAATGAAACCGTTAAAGGACAAATTGAAGTCTGGTATTCGTACCAAAGAGGGAAGTCGCAGTACTAAAGACAGTAAAGCTATCCTTGAAGCACAGCACAATCTATGTTTCCAACAGATTGGGAATGAGATGAAAGCTGATTATGAAGAGCACAACGCTATTCTGATCGCTCGTTGCATGATGCAGATCAAGGCAAAGTTTGATACTGATGAAGGTCTGAACTTCATTCAACAGTATTACATCAATCAAGGACTGAAGAAGTTTGGTGACGATGGAAAAGATGCTGTGGATAAGGAATTGAGACAAATGCTCCTGAGAGATTATTTTACTCCCAAATTTGTGAAAGACATGACCGCGTCTGAGCAAAAGAAGGCCCAATCAGCGATGATGTTACTTGCGGAAAAGCAATTTGAAAAGACAATTAAAGGTCGCCTAGTATTCCGAGGCAATGGAACTCGTGAATGGTTATCGCGAGAGGACACTGCAAGTCCAACTGCTTTGCAAGAAGCAATCACCACTACTTGTGTTATTGATGCACACGAAGGTAGAGACATAATGACGCTGGACGTGCCTAACGCTTTCATTCAAACTTATATGCCTGAATCTAAGGAGGGAGAAGATCGTATCTACATGAAAATCACTGGCATGATGGTCCAGATATTGATTGACATGGCCCCAGAGTATCGCAAATACGTTGTATTAGAGAACGGAAAGCGAGTAATCTATGTGCGGGTACTACGTGCTATTTATGGGATGTTGCAATCGAGCCTCCTATTCTATAATCAATTTTGAAGTGATTTGGAGGCAAAGGGATTTGTTTTCAATCCGTATGACCCGTGTGTTGCTAACAAAGTTGTTGATGAAAAGCAGCAAACTATCAGATTTCATGTTGACGATCTTATGTCAAGTCACATGGATCC